TCTGTTAAATTAAATAATCTGAGTTTGAAATGTCAAAAGTAAAATGTTTGATCTTGATTATGTAAACATGCATTTATACAATATAAATCTATTCAAGGTTTTTAACATTAAATGTAAACTTCCCTATTGAATACAAGAATATATTGGAATATCTATCTGCAAAATAAGAAAAGAATTGAGTTTTCTAAAAACCAAACTTCGCAAAATATTTCTATACTGACTATATAAACTTCTTTTAGTTTCTGTAGCTTAGCTTCAGAGGTTTTATAGATATTATAGAGATACTAGCATCAGAGTATTAGATTTTATAGAGATATCACCCTCAGAGTATTAGATTTTATAGAGTATACCAGCCTCAGACTATTAGATTTTTTAGATTATACCAGCCTCAGAGTATTAGATTTTTTAGAGATACCAGAGGTTGAAACTTTTGTATGAAATATAAGTAATCTTTAATACAGATGGGACCAGATTTTATGAAAAGCTAGTTGAACCAGGTAGACGTAGTCAAACCACACTATCCATTAAATATGGTTCCTGAATTCGATGTATAAAGTAAACACTCTTAGTGGTAAATCCGAGTAAACAGCTGACTCGTAGTTTCATGATATCTTATCGTCCAATTTTGTACCTTCTTTAAGGATTAACTGTACAATGTTTCGACATTACATTGTTCACTATACCACGTTATTATTGGTTTAAGTTTAACTATTCACGAGTCCAAACTAAAAATATTTTAGCATTTTGATTTGCTGTCAAAATCTAAAAGAGTACCGAATGTAATTGATTACAAAAATTTTACAGCTATTCATTTTGTATTATAAAGTCCGAATGTAGATGCATAAACCAGTAAGATTTATAGACTATATTGCTTTAGTCTAATTCAACATTTCTTTTCTTTCTTTCACAATTTTCTATGCTTATTGTTGTTTTTAATAATCGTTACTTCAATTTACAAAAACTTTAATATTTTTTCCCCACTGGAAAAAATAACAATTTTCTTATTTTTCGATTATTGAACGAATACGCATTACTCATTTTTTTGATTAAAAAAGATGCGTTTAAAGTCACAGTTTAATTATTAACAAAATTATAAACATTGTTATTTCAATTATTTTAACCATCACAAATTTTGCCAATTTCGTCTTAAAACGAAAGCTAAAAATAAGTACTTTATATAATGGATTGATGTGAATTGTCTAGATAGATGTTGGCAACATTTTCTAGTTTGATGAAAGTTTTAGGTTCAGTTTCTTAGGATTTCAATTGAATTACACAACATTGCAAATGTAAAGCTTTCTTAAGATTTGTATACAATTGGTTTAACATTTTGAAATAAAAACTTTTAGTAGGTTTTACGTAATACATTCACATTCAGCTGTTAATTAAAGTTTTACTTTTTCCATACTCATGGACATTGTACAAATGTTCATTGGACGTATGTAACATGGTATTACGTATGGTACATTAATGTCACAATAAAAAAAATATTTAAAAAAAACTTTTTTCCGATGTTTTATATTTCTGAGATCTTTTTCCTTATGATTTTTTTCCTGAGGTGAATTCGTACATTTGCACAACATTGTTTACATTGCACAAATTTATGATATTTAAATAATAATCTAATTTTCGCGCTGACAAAATTACACATGCATGTAATATATTATATAGTCTATAGTATTTTGATATATCTTAACTTCAAATCTGCGGAATATTATACATTTGTTCCGAATTAAAATCATAAAGCTAAAAGAATTATGAAAAATATCATAAATATTATAAAAAATTTATCTTTCAGGAACAAAAGTTGAAAACATCTTAATTGAAATTCTTTCATCTAAAGTTTGGGATTAAATCTAGTTTATTTTTGATTTTATTCTATTTTCCAGTTTTAGAGAATGCATATATTTAATTACTAAGTTTCAAGCTTAATCTTCCTTCATTATAGTTGCTGCAGCGGGGAAATGAGAATACTTGTGCTCGGTTGGGTTCCAGGTTTCAGGTTTCCAGGTTTCCAGGTTTCCAGGGTTCCAGGTTTCCAGGTTTCCAGGTTTCCAGGTTTCTGGGGTTCCAAGGTTCCAGGTTTTCAGGTTTTCAGATTTCCAGGTTTCAAGGGTTCAGGTTCCCAGGTTTCAGGTTTCCAGGTTTCAGGTTTCCAGATTTCCAGGTTTCAGGTTTCCAGATTTCCAGGTTTCAGGTTTCCAGGTTTCCAGGTTTCAGGTTTCCAGGTTTCCAGGTTTCAGGTTTCCAGGTTTCCAGGTTTCCAGGTTTCAGGTTCCCAGGTTTGCAGGGTTTCAGGTTTCCAGGTTTCCAGGTTTCAGGTTCCCAGGTTTTCAGGGTTCAAGGTTTCCAGGCTTCCAGGGTTCCAGGGTTCTAGGATTCCAAGGTTCCAGGTTTTCAGGGTTTCAGGTTTCCAGGGTTCCAGGGTTCTAGGGTTCCAAGGTTCGAGGTTTCCAGGGTTCCAGGTTTTCAGGGTTCCATGGTTCTAGGGTTCCAGGGTTCCAGCGTTCCAGGGTTCCAGGGTTCCAGGTTTCCAGGGTTCTACGGTGCCAGGGTTCCTGTGTTCCAAGGTTCCTGTGTTCCAGGGTTCCTGTGTTCCAGGGTTCTTGTGTTCCAGGGTTCCAGGGTTTCAAGGTTCCAAGGTTCCAGGGTTCCTGTGTTCCAGGGTTCCTGTGTTCCAGGGTTCCAGGGTTCCAAGGTTCCAAGGTTCCAGGATTCCAGGGGTTTAGGGCTCATAGGGTTTCCAGTTTCCAAGGTTCCAGGGTTGAGTTGACAAGAATAAAAGACTTTTCTTTCTTTATGTTCTCCAACTTCTAGAGTAAACTTGTCATCATTAGCAAACATTCGTAGATTTTGCCTTCTTTCATCTTCCTCAGGGGCTCAAACAATTTATATAACTCTGTTTGTGAAAGGAAAGGAAGTAGGAGGCTAAAGGAACGGCTGAACCGATTTGACCAACATATTTCGTGGAGCTCATAAAGATCTAAGGGAAGGTTTATGGTCGTTAAGGATAAAAAATTAAAGCTTCACAAAACTGTGAGCTTTAAAGATTTTGGAACTACGCTAATTAAACAGAAAAATGTTTTAAAAGTAAACGATCTCCTAAAGGGAGGCAAACTTGATTAATGGATTCAATTTGAAAACTAGATGATTTCCTTAAACTTAATATACATAATCTTAGAACACTAAACAATATTAAATACTAGAGAGCTCACAAGCTCAAATATTTAATATGAGGGACTAGAGAGCTCAGCAGTTCAAATATTTAATATTGGGGAATTGAGAGTTCAAATATTTAATATTAGGGACTAGAAAGCTCAGCAGCTCAAATATTAGATATTAGGTACTAAAGAACTCAGCAGCTAAAATGTTAAATATTAGGTACTAAAGAACTCGGCAGCTCAAATATTTAATATTAGGGACTAGAGAGCTCAGCAGCTCAAATATTAGATATTAGGTACTAAAGAACTAGGCAGCTCAAATATTAAATATTAGGGACTAGAGAGCTCAGCAGCTCAAATATTAGATATTAGGTACTAAATAACTCATCAGCTCAAATATTTAATATTAGGGACTAGAGAGCTCAGCAGCTCAAATATTAGATATTAGGTACTAAAGTACTCAGCAGCTCAAATATTTAATATAGAGACTAGAAAGCTCAGCAGCTCAAATATTAGATATTAGGTACTATAGTACTCAGCAGCTCAAATATTAGATATTAGGTACTAAAGTACTCAGCAGCTAAAATATTAGATATTAGGTACTAAAGAACTCAGCAGCTCATATATTAGATATTAGGTACTAAAGTACTCAGAAGCTCAAATATTTAATATAGAGACTAGAGAGCTCAGCAGCTCAAATATTAAATATTAGGTACTAAAGTACTCAGCAGCTCAAATATTAGAAATTAGGTACTAAAATACTCAGCAGCTCAAATATTTGATATTAGGTACTAAAGTACTCAGAAGCTCAAATATTAGATATTAGGTACTAAAGTACTCAGCAGCTCAAATATTAAATATTAGGTACTAAAGTACTCAGAAGCTCAAATATTTAAACAGAATTGAAAATCCAATTTATTCTTGGAAGTAATCTACTGCAAAATGCAATTTTGAAACCAAACAAAGGACCTATGGGAGCAAAATAATTCAGCTTTACACTCTTTAAATTATCCAAGTTTTACAAGGACAGTGTTAAGTGGGTTTTCAGACCTTTTCTTTGTAAAACTTACCAATACTCAATTTTGTTGAATATGGCACATAATCAAGCCAATTTTACCGCGAAAATGCATGCCTCTGAATAAAAGATACTCTCTGATGGAGTAATCGCTTGTTTTACTGGGTAAAGGAATTGACTCTTTGCAACAATCTAAAGTTTTCGAATCTCTACATCTTAGAAACATGATGCTTTATACCTCTGATATTTCAGACTCAGATTATTTGATCTAACATAAAAACAGTTTAAAAAATCTATAATTTAGAATAGAGTTGAATGTGGTTCACTATATATCTATTTTTCTCTCTCGCTCACTTCTTTAACTTACTATCTATCTATTCAAATTCAATTCAGCAATAGGAGAAATTATGGAGACATTGGGTTGGAGAGATCAAAAACTGACTAAAACTAAATTTCTTTCGTGGAATTTGAAAATGTTTTTCGTATATTTGACTGTCCATTTTATGCTAACACAAGGTGATAAATTGCCTATTATTTTGACGGAAAATATCTAACAATCTGGTAGGGTCAATCATTATTAATTTCTTAATCTGTTGACCATTTGGATACTCTTCCCAATACAGTAAATATTTTACAATACTTTAATTTTCCATCAAAAATTAAGAAACGTTAAAAAGTTTGAGGGTTCTATAATTGCAAGTCATTCTTTATTATGGCTAAAACTAACATGGGGGTAGTGGGTAATTCCCCCCCCCCTTTCTCCCTATAAACACCCCATATTGTCTGTCAAATAAACAAAAAACGTCCTTTGAAAAATGACAAAATTGAACTTGATATGTGTTTATTTATGCAATTGAACAGTGCAGTGAAATAAATAGATGTTTTGAAGTATAAGACTGGACATAATGTTGAGGCTGGTAGTCTCTGTCCTCCAATAGTTTACTAAGAATCCGGAGTTTCAATCCTAACTCGGAGCTAACTCTACACAGTAATATGTAATATATTCCACACAACATCATGTTTTACATCTTATAGGTCTCTAGGGGTTTTTTAAGAGACTCCCATTTCTTGAGTGGTATGCCTGATTCACGATAGTATTCGTATTCGTAAAAAAAATTATGCGTAAAAATGATGATATTAAATTTGCTGGTATTTGGATAAAAAATGTTAATTAATAAACTTATAGTCCATAAGAGTAAATTGCGGATTTTATACAACAGAGACAAATAACGTATTGAACAGAATTTAACCCTGATGAAAACACGACGGTATCATTGAATCTTTCCCATTGTTGCTCAGATAAAGATTGAAATGGTACCTTCATAAATCAGACATGCCAATCTGTGAATGGCCGGATGGTTTCTTGAAACTACTCTACAGTCCATGAAAGAATGACCAATTTTTTAGAGCTTTTTATAGTTTTTAGATTTCTTTTCTGACACTAAGTTGCAAGTTAAGGAACATTTCCACATCGACTAGAAATCATTCTATTGTAAATTTAACCAGCTCTTACCTGCACCCCTGTCCCCCCCCCCCCGAAAAAAAATTATGTTTTCTCCGTCCCATCTACATACATCGTTCTGCGCTCCTCATGTCCAACTTTTCCCATCCCATTCACATCATTCTCCACCCCGTGGTCCACGTTTCTCCATCCCATCCACATCGTTCTTCGTCACTTGTTCAAGTTTCTACTTTCTACATCCCATTCACACCATTCACCACCCCTTGTTCCAGGTTTCTCAATCCCATCCGCCTTGATCTTCATTCCTTTTCCAAGTTTCTCCGTCCCATCCACATCGTTCTCCACCCCTTGTTCCAGGTTTTTCCGTCCCGTCCATAAAATTTTTCACCCCTTGTTCCAGGTTTCTCTGTTCCATCCACATCATTCTCCACCCCTTGTTCTAGGTTTCTACGTCCCATCCACATCATTCTCCACCCTGTGTTCCAGGGTTCTCCGGCCCATCCACATCATTCTCCAACCCATGTTCTGCAGGTTTCTCCGACCCATCCATAAAATGTTCCACCCCTTGTTCCAGGTGTCTCTGTTCCATCCACATCATTCTCCACCCTGTGTTCCAGGTTTCTCCATTCTATCCACATCATTCTCCACCCCGTGTTACAGGTTTCTCCGTCCCATCCACATCATTCTCCAACCCTGTGTTCCATGTTTCTCCGTCCAATTCTCATCGTTCTCCACTCCTTTTACAAAGTTTTTTTCGCCCAAGGCAAAACTTGTATGGCCCAAGCCCATACTTCTCCACCTAAGCCCCAGGATTCTCCGCCTCAGCCCCAGGATTCTCCGCCTCAACCCCGGGATTCTCCGCCTCAGCCCCAGGATTCTCCGCCTCAGCCGGAGGATTCACTGAAGTACATTAAAATCATTTGTGTGTACATAATGTATAGAAAAGCCGGATATTACAAACCTAGTCTGCCTTGAATTCAGATTTAGATAATATCCGGAGAATAAATCTAAAACACTACATAGTAAACATATATATATTTATTGTAAAGATATATATATAAATATATATGATTCTATAAAAGGGATGGGGGAGCTATATATTAAGATTGAAAAACATCTAAATCAATTAATTTATTTTAGTTTTAACAGACGACACTGAAAACATATAAAACATATATTACTTTGAAGCAAACTAAGAAACTCTGTTTGATTTAAATAGCACAAAATAACTTTTTCTAAAATTTGAATAGAAACAATTTAATGTTTTGAAACTTACAACCTCATAAATGTTTTACTTGTTTTTAACAAATTGTTTTCTCCTATACCCAGACTTATTTTTTACAAACCAGTTGTTTAGATAAATCTTATCATCATAAACAAATCAATTATTTTTTGATTTATTATTTACTTATTTATTTTATGTTTTAATCTTTTGTGTTGGATACTCATAATCCCAATACCTTGATCTCGATATCCACTTGGACACTTTTGATTTTATTACTACTGCTTTCTTTTTTCAGCTATTCTTCCCCGATTAAACCTCTGATCAAGTTCAGCCACAAGAATCCTCAGGCGGATTTCCAACATCGAATTTCTGCTGCTCAGGGCCGGTCGGAAAAATAAACACCTATAGCAATGGGCCCCGTTTAAACTCTATCTCGGCGCTAAAATCTATCTGAAACCCAAAACTAAACTGAAATCATCTTCTCTTAGCAACTTACTGTCGTAGACCTATTGATATTTCGCATTATAAATTCTGCTATATCAAATATATGTATAAAAATGCCAAAAGTTACCACCATCAGGGTTTCAAGGCATGAAGGATTTGAAAATTATTGTTTGAGACTAAGATATATAAGTTTTTATATTTCAGAATTGGTATAAGAATGGAGAAGCTGACCCTTCTAGTTGTTATATGCTGGTCAGGTCAGTGGACATATTCAATATTCTATTTTATCCAATATTTGTATATTTCCCTGGTTCTAATATATGAAAATTTATGTTTATAAATCTTACACAATTTAATGATCGATTAGGATTTAAATAAAAATTCCAACGAAATTTAAAATGAAATTGATAAACTCTTAATAGTAAAATGATTTTTTTTTACACCGAAACGAAAAATCGAGTCACACCCTGTTCACTTTTTACACACCGTTAAAAAACTTTCATCTGTCGATTTTTTCGAATCGTATTTTTTAAAATTTAATTGAGTGAACTTTTTATTGGGATATTTGCCCAGTGGGATTATCTTTTCCATTTTCAATTTGAAACTAAGTTAGAAAAGGTAGAATCAGATTAACGTGTTCTCCATGTCAAACTGCCAAAGAGATAAAGTTAAACAGTTTAACCTTCACTGGGATTTGGCATGTATATGATGCTGTATTACCACTTCAACTTTTTATTGATTATGATCTCGTATAAGATTTGCCGATTTTTTTGTTTTTGTGGAAATTAAAAAAAAAATATGGAAATCATAAACTAGATTCTTACTTCGCAGACGTAGTTGACTCACTTCTCTTGTTCCCAATTCAAGTTAAAAAGTGGTTTAACTAAGTTTATCTAGTTCATCTACGTCTCACTATTCAGAAAATTTGGTCCCTGAGCGGATTTAAACTAAGGCTATGTTCACTGTAAACGAAGATGTGAACGTTCTCACGCCAAAATCACGCAGTTTTTTGTCAATTACTCTTTTTAAGCCGAAACTAGAAAAAGTGCGTTATACATTTATAAAATTTATATGCCTAGGGCTTCAAAAAGTATGAGTAGGTTTGTCGAGAATGTTTAAAATAACTTTAAATCTGGACAAATAGATAGATATTTATTCATTCTTGAATTTTCAATAAAGATGATTTTTTGAAACGTTAAAATGTTGAGGTCTTGAAGACTTAAAGTATAAGATTATTTCCGTGGATAATTATTCAATCTACAGGATTAAGACAATTCATCATTTTTATATTTTTCTTGGAGAAAACTTTTACTAACTTTTAGATATGGAATTTTTGAAGATTTTAAAGATTTGTGTTTATTTTGGGTATATACAATTCACATTAGAACTTGGTCATACAATAGCGGGAAGATAACCTTTCTTGGATTATATTAAAGCTACCTTTCTTGGATTATATTAAAGCTACCTTTCTTGGATTATATTAAAGCTACCTTTCTTGGATTATATTAAAGCTACCTTTTTTTGTAAACATTCAGTAATTTACCTTTACTAGCCGTAGAGGGCGCTTCGCGCCCATCTTCTAAATTAGTTGTGAACATGCTTCTTTGTGTACATCGTAAAACAAAACAAAAATAATTCGCGGATTTTTACAAAAAATTTCGCGGATTTTCAAAATTTTTAAAAATTTAAGGACGATCGAATTTTGATGGAGACAAATATTTGAAATTTTGATTTTTCATAAACCTTCCCTGGGGTCCCTAGATGTCCCACAAAAAATTTGGACCCGATCGGTTCAGCCGTTTTGACGTTTATTGGATACAAACAAACAAACAGACAGACAGACAAGCTACATTTATATATAGATTGGTTCACAGACATAGAGCAAATTAACCTAGGGTCAAACAAAAATAGAGACAAAAACACGACAAAGGGGCAAAATTACATATTTTAGAGGAGGCTAAGGAACCGAGCACAGCGGCATCAGATCTAATCACGGCCATTTTGTTTCTATGTGATAGAACTATTTTTAACCCTAGGTCTTTTTTGACATAGGTCGTTTTATCCTTAGTCGGGTTTTGCCTGTTTCTCATTTTAGGCGGTAGGTCATTTAAGGCGATTTATTTAATTTTTGATGACTTCGAAGTACAGGCTTAAACTGTTTATTTACAAAAGTTGTATTATTAGAAAATTTTAGTAAATTTTTTAAAATCTTTTTTGGCTAATTGTTTTCAACTGCTTAGAGGGGTTCAGTGCAGTTCCAAGTGTAGAAGTTAAAACGCTGGAGCCACAAGTCAGGTTTAATATTTTATTCTTTATTCAATTTCTAAATGAATGGTACAATGAGAACCAAGAAACTGTGGGCTAAACATTGCCTTTATTCTGTCGCTTCAGATTTTTTAGTTGGAACATTTTTGCGACTGTTCAGGGCATTATTTTTAGAAATATTTCACATGCAAATTACATAACCTACAGCGACCTAACTACGTTAAATAGTTATATAAATGTTAGTTAAAGCTGGCCAAACGGATAAACTGAATTAGCTGAATTTTGTAGAGAACCCTTGGGTTTAAAGGGTGAACCCGTGGGTTTAAAGGGTGAACCCGTGGGTTTAAAGGGTGAACCCGTGGGTTTAAAGGGTGAACCAAATTTGAAATTTTCCGAGTTACACGGGCTACGCTTAAATCATTATTAAATACCAAGAGGCCGACCGCCGAATTTAAAGAATTTGAGTGCCGGCTTAAATTTGATTCGCCGCGAGGGCTCAAATATGGTTGGGTCCACTTAAAATTGTATTCAATGTTTCAAGCCAGCGAGTTAAATTTAAACCGGTTTTTGGCGGGTTTGAGACGCTGCTCAAATTCATTAAATTTGGTACAAAGCACGTGTTATAAACGGCAGGAGTAAAGACAATAAATGATTATATAAACCTGAGAAACGTCGTGCATTCTAGCTATTTTATAATTAAACGGACCCAAAAGGAAGTGTTTCCGAAAAATGAAAGGGGGTTTAGGGTTACGGCGAAAAATAAGCGCTTTTGAGAAATGAATTCACGCCAGACTTACTTTTGGACACAATCAACAATATTGGTAAAACATAATTTATTTGGATTTATGTTTAAATTTCATTTTAACCTAAATATCTTCATTTTCTAGTTTTCTAGTTTTCTAGAATCCTTCATCAATCCAGATATTTTAGGGATAGAGTTGAACCTGAGTACAAAATAGATATATTTTAGGGATAGAGTTGAACCTGAGTACAAAATAGATATATTTTAGGGATAGAGTTGAACCTGACTACAAATTAGAAGAAAGAGGTTTGGAAACTTATTATTTATTAAAAGCTCTTTTTTCTAAGTGGTACAATGACAAAGTTTAAAAGTTTATTGATTTCTTTACTTTTTAACTAAATTATTTAATAAACAAGTTCAGCTTAGTTTTGATTACAAATTACTTTTCATATTTTTAAGAAATCTCTGAAAATGTATTTTTTAATAAAAGTTTTGCCCTTCAAGAAAACTTTCTAATAAGACGTTTTATGGTTTTAATTTTAAGACTTGAGAAATACAAATTCTATAATTGTCTTAGGTTTTTAAAAAAATTAGTCCAGTGTACTTGAAAAATGTATAATTCTTACTCTTGAAAGATTAATGTGATATATTTGTTATTTAAAATGTAGTTCTTAAACTCTTTGAATAAGAGTTATTTTAAGTACTTCATAAATGTTAAACCCTTGAAATTAGAAGAAACACACTTAATGATTTCTATATATCTTAGACGTTAGAAAGTTGTATAAATAAAAAAATGTGTACGTGGATTTTAATAAATGAACTGAGATTTTGACGGTGTGAACATTTAATATTTCAAAATGACATAAACTATTTGATCTAATAGAATTCATAATTTGAAATATCAAAGGTCCAATATCAAGGTTGCAAATATTTAAGGATTAGAGAATCAGAGTTTGTGGCAAGAACTTATTTCCCTAGTTCAGTTTATTTTACAACCGACATTTCATGCTTAAAGTACGTTAATGTACTTAAATCCTTGAAATAAGAATTATGAAACCTCAATATTTTAATTTATAGATTTAAGAAATGTAGGTTGTAAATAAAAGAAGGAGTGTTTGCGATCTGCAGAATTTTATTCAGAAAGTATGAAAAGAAAAAGCCTTCACTGCATCATTGCTTGCGTTAGGAAAATGTCATAAAACAAACATTATTAAAACTTTTATTCTTATTTCCATATTAAAGGACCACATTATTTCAAGCAAAAGAAAAAATACATTTTTTCATTCTTCCTTAAAAACAGAAATAGTTATCTCTGCTATAGTGAATAGTTCCCAAAGACTTTTTCCCAAGAGGCAACTTCGCAAGGGTATTTTCAAAGTGGCAACTTCCCAAATGTGTAATTTCTCAAGCAGAAACTTTCTAAGTCTGTCCTTTGTCGCAGCGCTCGGCCTATTCCTTCCTAGTCGCAACCCTCCGCCTATTCTTCCTAGTCGCAGCCCTCGGCATATTCTTTCCTAGAAGCAGCGCTCATCCCCCATTGCAACCTAGCTGCGGCGCCTCAGAAGGCCTAATCAAACGTTCAGGAAGTTGCCGCTTGGGAAATTGCACATTTGGGAAGTTGCCATTTGGGAAATTGTCACTTGGGAAGTCGCCCTTGGGAAAATAGTGATTCGACGAGGAAAAACTCTGTCTATCCTTTGGGGAGAAATGTCTGTTAAGCTCAAACCACATGGATCCCTGTTTCCAATAAAAAATATTCCTCTCCACAACCATAACCTTAGAAAACAGAATTCTGTTCCCATTTATTCAAGGGAGAACGGAGAGGTTAAGAAGATCGATCATGTTTCCAAAGACTACTGAATAGTAGATAAACATGTATTTTCACCAATATAAAATGTATATCTTATTTTATATATGAATGTTAATCCTCAAATTTTTTAAAAAAATATTTATTGAGCCATGCTATGCATGATTAATCTATTAAGTTATTTAATACACTAAATCTTCTCACAGTGGTTAATATTAACCCTATTTTTACTTTCGCAAAAAGAAAATACAGGGGAGAGAGACAAGTAGAAATATGTTTTATTTATTTCACATTTGTTCTTCAAAGAGCTGAATATGTATGTAGATCGTTAGTTTTAATATTTTTGTTTTTCTGAGAAAATAATTAAGATTTTACAGTTATGTGTTAGAAATTAGGCTAACAAGTACCTGGAATATTAGAATACTGGAATACTTAGATGAATGCTTTTAGGAAATTGTATATTAAATATAAACAAAATATGAAAGCTGAGATAAGCTGAAGGGGGAAGGGGTGGGAAAATGTGTCAGTTGCTTATCATTTGAAATAATTTTTCATCATATTCCATCATATACTCCTAACACAAATCAACATAAGGTACTGAACTCTTACCACAATTTTACATCTTTGAAACCTGAGGGCAGCTCAAAATTTAAAAATTTCAAGTTGGATAAAACATTTTTAAACCGCGGCTCAAATTCTTTAAATTCAGTCTCTGATGACGTAGATCTTTTATATTTCAAACATTTTACAAGATCAAACAGTTAGTATGGAATGGTATGAGGATTAGAAATGTATGTACAGTGAAACCTTAATAACGAATACATCGAAAGAATTCATCAAATGTCGTATTCTTCACTTTCTGATAATGGAATGTTGCAGATATTTAGTTTTTTTTATTAAATGATTATATGGAACTCTTTAAAACTGTTCCCACATATTCATGGCTATTTATTTGTTTTCGCAAATACTGAAACTTACATAATATAGTATAAAACTGATTAAAATATTGTCAAGACGACATTTGATAAATTCTTCCGATGTATTCGTTATTAAGGGTTTCACTGTATGATAGGAATATACCATATTGAAAGAAACCATTTTTTTGAAGTTTTAAGACATTAAAGTTTGTACTTTTTTAAAATCTGAAAGAAAAGACGAAAAGAATAAGTTTTATTTGCTGCTCAAATGTGTGAGTTACTTGTACACAGACAACGCAGTAGAAAATTGTCAATTTTCAGTTAATAGAAAATAATATTATTTTTGCTCAGACAAAGGGTTATAAGGCAATATTGTGAATCTGGCAAATCTTAAAAGGTCACTTGAAATTACGTCGTAAGGCCCCCCTTTGATTAAAAAATTCAGAAACTGATTTTCACACGATTAAGACTCTCCTTTTTTGAAAATATATACGAAAATAATATACGAAATGCAGATTAAACCCTAATGTTTAGGTTGGATAGAGCTATTGGGACCTGGTAACTACAGTCTAGAAGAAGGAAATGAACTGGCGCTCATCTGTAGGGGTTCATCAAACCTTAATCTAGCCTGGAGTAAAATAGTTAGTATTAAGCTTTATAAAGCAATTCAGATTGAGAATTATACATAGAAAGTAACTTAAAGTTCTTGCAACAAACTCGGAATTTTTTTTTTCTTCGTGACCCGATGTGATCATCTCGTGGACTGTTGTATTTAAAACTACGAATTCTTTTAGATCAAAAAGTTGAAATATCAAAGGTAACTATCAGAAATCAGGATGCGAAGATAAAGGGACGAGAAAATCTGAGTTTGTAGCAAGAACTCAGTTCTTTTAACGATCTTTTTTATTTCTTTTTATATTTGTTATAAATTCAATAGATTGATCCTTAATTATTGTTAGAACGTAATTTTTTACAATTTGTAACTTTTACAATAATTATGAGAAATCGTGTCCTTTCCCTTTTATCATTTTTTTCTATTAAGCCCGGATTACTGCCGAATGGAATGACCAGGGTCCGGGGAGAGCAAGTGATTGTACAAAGGGTTTCCAGAGACCATTCAGGAATCAGATTAGTCCTCAAAACCAGATTCTTTTGTGAAAGGAATAATTTAATTCTACAATATTATCCCTGGGGATTCACCAGTATTCATTCAATTGCAGGATTATACAGGCAAAAGTAGTATTTGAGATTTTTTATTTTAAAATTCGAAATTTTAACACTTTTTTCATTGCGATTATAGTAAATCGCATCTTGCCAATTCTATTAATGGAAATATGGCAGACCGCATTTTGGAAATCTCAAGACTATGAAATTTCAATTTTTTTATTTTAAAAATTACTTTGATTGAGTTTAACGAAAAAAAAACGATTAGATCACCTATAGCTTGAACCCAAGGACTATTTTGATTACTGGCTGCAGGGATTTACCGCTGCCAAGATGAAATGGATCCATCACTTTACACTGATAAAATTGTCAATGTCTTGTGTAAGTATATATTTGTTATGCCTTTTATTTAGGATTGTTAAATCCCGATCTCAAAAGTTAAAAAAATCAAGCCTTTGAAAACTGTCAAAAGTATCGTTAGAGGCATCAATTGTAGGTAGCATCTTGGACTCGACCCATGATCAACACCAAAACTAAATTTGTAGGAGTTTTGTGACACCTTCTTTAAAAAGTTAAATTTTTACATGAACTGTAATTAATTTGTTAATCTGTTGAAACATTCAGTGTGGTTTAAAATTCAGTAATTGCTTGAAACACAATTCATTCAAAATTTAAAATATTTAAATGAAAAACAATTTAAACTTATATGTATATTGTATGCATGGTTTAGAATATAGTTGGTTAGGATTTATATTTACTTTTTAACAAGAGTTTCTAAAACTTTTAAAAACTTTACTAATTATTTTGCATCAAGACAATCCCCAATGCAGTGTTTACTCTAAATTAGGGTTAATTTGTTTTTTCTTTTTCTTCTTTTGAACATATTTTACTCGTCTTCATAAGTTTTTTCAAAGTTTTTATCATTATACCAATATTATCTTCCTAGATAGATAGATAGGTTTAATCATTTATCCTCGATATTATCTTCCTGGATAGATAGGTTTAATCATTTATCCTTGATACTATCTTCCTACCTGGATAGATAGGTTTAATCATTTATCCTTGATATTATCTTCCTACCTGGATAGATAGGTTTAATCATTTATCCTTGATACTATCTTTCTAGCTGGATAGATAGGTTTAATCATTTATCCTTAGTATTATCTTCCTAGCTGGATAGATAGGTCTAATCATTTATCCTTGATTATCTTCCTAGATAGATAGATAGGTTTAATCATTTATCCTTGATATCATCTTCCTAGCTGGATAGAAAGGTTTAATCATTTTTCCTTGATTATCTTCCTACCTGGATAGATAGGTTTAATCATTTATCCTTGATTATCTTCCCAGCTGGATAGATAGGTTTAATCATTTATCCTTGATACTATCTTCCTAGCTGGATAGATAGGTCTAATCATTTATCCTTGATATTATCTTCCTAGCTGGATAGATAGGTTTAATCATTTATCCTTAATATTATCTTCCCAGCTGGATAGATAGGTTTAATCATTTATCCTTGATATTATCTTCCTACCTGGATAGATAGGTTTATTCATTTATCCTTGATATTATCTTCCTAGATAGATAGATTGGTTTAATCATTTATCCTTGATATTATCTTCCTGGATAGATAGGTTTAATCATTTATCCTTGATATTATCTTCCTAGCTGGATAGATAGGTTTATTTATTTATCCTTTATTATCTTCCTAGCTGGATAGATAGGTTTAATCATTTATCCTTGATTATCTTCCCAGCTGGATAGATAGGTTTAATCATTTATCCTTGATATTATGTTCCTAGATAGTTAGATAGATTTAATCATTTATCCTTGATATTATCTTTGATAGGTTTAATTTATCTTAGATAGGTTTAATTCAAAGGTTTAATGATTAATTTACCTAGATGGTCCAGATGTTTTGGTTTTCAAAATGTTTATTCAAACCTTAGACGGAATCAACCTGAACCTGGTTTGCCAGGTATATTGAATTTAGATACAAGGGCACTGCGTTAATTCCACAAACTCCAGTATTCTTATCCCTTTATTTTTTTTTGCACACGATGGTGTAAACCTTTTGGTTTTTTTTTAACTTGGGTTATTTGATCTAACATAATTGAAAGTTTGAAATATCTATGGTTAACGACATTGAGTTGCTAAGATATAAGGATTAGAAAATTAGAGTTTGTGGCAAAAACTCAATTCCATATATCTCTATTCTCTGCTATATGGTGTACACTCTAGTTATTTAAAACGTTGATTATTTGATATAACACTAAGGTCTGTGACATTGGGTTGAAAAGATATAAGAATTAGAAAATCAGAGTTTGTGGCAAAGACTAAATTCTTTTACTGGATTTTTTTTTGAGTAAAGCGTCCACAGTTAAGATGGGTTGTTGTGCTCAAATAGATTGTTCACCTTGTATTTATTATAAAATACCCATGATATCCTTATTTTGGGATTAGGAATACATAAAACCCCCCCTATCCAGATTTGGATATTTTGTGCTAAATGTCCCTAGTCCAACTTTTCAAGGCCAGCTCATTAAAAAATTATACCTCAAACTTTAATGGTTTGGTTGGTAGAGAGGGATTAAAAAGAAAGAATAGTGTGTCAGAAAAATTTATTTTTACTTTTGACAAACATTAACATGTGGCAAATGTAATTAAATCCATTTTTTGTGGCTGTTCAACTAAATGAATTTTAGATCTGTAGCATAATTAATAAAAATGTTATTGGCTATTTTAGATTATTATGAAACCCTATGCATCAAAAAAAATTGTGTCTTTAACTATATGGTTGAACAAGTAAAGACGTTTGGGCGATCTAATGAAAGCCGTTTTTAAGTTATTATAAATCCCAAATCTCAATCTCAACAATCCCGTGGTTTCCCGAGTTCCCCAATCATAATTTGAGGCAAATCGGTCCAGGGGTTCCTGATATATGATCAGACGAACAAACAAACAGACACCAAAACAGAGATTACAACTTTATATATAGATATGCTGACCGTTTTAGATGAACTATTCTTTTAATATAACGTGATAGTTGGATAAAATTTTTTTTCAATTAATATTTATTGATGCCTTTTAGCATTATGGAGAACTTGTTGTTATAGCTTTGATTTTTTAAGAAGAAATTGGCAAAATTCTCACCGATTTTTTTTCAGAGCTTGAGCTTTAAATCACAGTGTGCACTGTACTTTTTACAAAAATAAAATTAAAGAAAGGTTGCTGAGAACTATTGTAATAACTCCTAGTTTGAGATATTTCAATTATTAGGTTTCCTCCAATCCCCTGGCTTCTGTACTATGGATGAAAAACGGACAAATCATTCAAGCGTCAACTCAGGTAAAATGATTGCATAGTAAAAAAACAAAAAATTTTAAAGGTTTACAAAAAGTTCAAATTTTTTTAGCGACACCTTAAGGTTAACAAAATTCCCACTAGACATGATAATTTTTATGAAAAGATTTTACGAATTTGCTTTTTTTGGTTCCATTTGTTATTTGATTTGCTTTTATCTCCTCAAGAAGACGCCACACTTTTTTGATTTAGATATTCGTGGAGAAAAATTCTCAATTTCATAAATAATTATTCTTCTACTTTCATTATTTCATTAAAACTTTCAGCACATTTTTCACCTAAACTATTTATTTGTAGTTAGTTCTGGATTTGTAGTTAGTTGTGCATTTGTAGTAGTTAGTTTTGCATTTGTAGTCAGTTTTGCATTTGTAGTCAGTTTGAATTTGTTGTTAGTTTTGCATTTGTAGTTAGTTTACATTTGTAGTTAGTTGTGCATTTGTAGTTAGTTTTGCATTGGTGGTTAGTTTTGCATTTGTAGTTAGTTTTGCATTTTATTGTTAATTTTGCATTGGAAGTTAGTTTGCATTTGTAGTTAGTTTTGCATTGGTAGTTAGTTTTGCATTTTTAGTTATTTTTTTCTTTGTAGTTAGTCTTGCATTTTTAGTTCGTTTTGCATTTGTAGTTAGTTTGCATTTGTAGTTTGTCTTGCATTTGTGGTTAGTTTTGCATTTGTAGTTAGTTTTGCATTTGTAGTTAGTTTTGCATTTGTAGTTAGTTTGCTTTTGTGGTTAGTTTTGCATTTGCAGTTACTATTGCATTTGTAGATAGTTTTGCATTTTTAGTTAGTTTGCTTTTGTGGTTAGTTTTGCATTTGCAGTTACTATTGCATTTGTAGATAGTTTTGCATTTTTAGTTAGTTTTACATTTGTGTAGTTAGTATTGTATTTGTAGTTAGTATTGTATTTGTAGTTAGAATTGTATTTGTAGTTAGTATTGTATTTGTAGTTTGTATTTGTAGTTAGTATTGTATTTGTAGTTAGTATTGTATTTGTAGTTAGAATTGTATTTGTAGTTAGTATTGTATTTGTAGTTAGTATTGTATTTGTAGTTAGCATTGTATTGGTAGTTAGTATTGTATTTGTAGTTAGTATTGCATATCAACATTGAGAAATAAAAATTCTCTTTTTTTTTTCTTGTAAAAATATTGAACTTATTGTTAGAGCTTTTAAATTAAATATTAGTTTTTCTATTACCTCAGCATATGCTTAGTTTTTTTTAACAATGGTATTTAACCTAAAAACTCAGTTTTGTTTTGATTTTCTCAAGGTACAGATCTTTTTTATCCCTTTGTTATATGATTTTAATTAATTTTTTTCTTTTTTCTTTTTCAGGTTGAATATAAGTTTGTTCTAACTCATGTCATTCTTCACCCCTCCAAAGCAGGATTGCAAGCATATCAAATATTCAGGATTTTTTAAATGTAATCTAAAAATGTAAATTTTATATTTTTAAACATTGTACGATTTTCTGAAACATGTTTACTTTTCATTGTGCAGTCATAAAAAAGGTATTTTTTCTCTTGAAGAAAATTTTGTGGAAAATCACACCTCTGTGCACACTGCAGCTCAATGATACATAATGTTTGTTATTGTACTACAGATCTAGGAGTGTATACCTGTATTGCAAACAACAGTAGAACACTGAAAAGCCAAGATTTACTAATCACAGGTACACATAGTTACCGCCAAGAAAGTTCGCTGAAAAAAAGTTTGTCAGGAAAATCTTAAAATTTTATACTTTAAGCCCTGAGTAAAAAGGCTTTTCTAGAAATAAAAAAAAATCGGGGCTTTATATCAGGAACACTTTCTTTTGGGATTAGAGGTAAATAGGACTTTTTCTCAAATGTTTCATGTCTGTATGTACATATGTACAGTTGTGTGGATAGGTTTAAAAGAAAAGAAAAATCTAATCCATTACATTCATTTTATCATCGATATTGTTCCAGAAAAGAAAAGAAGAAAAATATTGATCGAAATTATATTTCTTTATTGGGCGCATAGAGCAATAAAACAAAGAGGTGAAGCTTAGCTTAGATGTACACAACCGACCTGTCTATTAATTAATTAATAGACAGGTCGGTTGTGTACATCACGATATGTTTACGTTTCTAACAATGTACACTTGTATATAGTCTGATCGTATTTCTAAAGGGGGATTTTATGGAATTGACCAATTTTTAGATTTTCTTTCTTCATTTAAAGAGTCGAGAATTCGAGGATGTTGACCCAAACATTTGAGAATTTTCAAATTTGTAGGTTTTCAATTTATTAGCTAAAAGTTCTGTCAAAAATATTAAGTTTCTAAGGCATGAATTTAACTGAAAACATTCTTATTTCAAACATTTTTTTATTGTTTCTTCTCTTCAACTCTTTATCATAAACATGACAGTGTATGCAGGGTTACCCACAAAGATGAAACAACGATGACGACCTGGAGCTCCTAACCCTAAACAGGCGGGGGGTTGAGATTTGGCTCCCCACTCTAGTTTTTTGACATTTCATAAATAGAAATTTAAAGGATTTTTTGGTAATTTTTTATGTCTAAGGTAGGGTGCAGGGCGATAAAAAACCAGAGTATGTAAAAAAATCTTAAATAGCCCATAACATTTTTATGACCAAAGCTACAGATCTGAAAACTATAGTTTTGAAAAGTTCTTGAAAAATGGGTGTAGAAACGTGTGTCACACTTTGATATTTGTTTTAAACAAAGAAAAATAATGATATTCCTATATATTCATTGTGTCAGCTTTACCATAAAGAGAGACCCCAATCCTTTCTCTATTCATAATTCATGTGTAGCATATATTCACCACTCACCAATTCTCTTCTATTTATTTTTTAGGTTTCATAATAATAAACAAAAAATAAAAATTAATATTCGGTTTAAAGGGACTGTAAGCGTATTAAAATAATCTTCCATTTAAATAGGGACATCCCTTATTCTTAACCGTATCCTCAAGGGCGTAAACAGAAATAAATTTGGGGGAGGGAAACTGTTTTTTGCCCCCTCCCCCTAGGAGCTCTTAGGGGCGGGGGACAATAAACCATTTTAAAAGATAAATAATTTTTAAGGACAGAACAGAAAATACGCTTAACAGTTTACATTAATAGGAATCATCATTGTTTCAATTCATAACTTAAACGTAAAGATTTTTATATATATATATTTTGCATGACGTGGCTGGATTTAAGAAAACTTCGAATTTTTAAGGCACTAAATTTACCATTTAAAACAGAATAATTGCCAGAAGACTCAAATAAAATGTTGTGGTATGGAATACCAAACGGTTGTGGCTTAAGGCTGCTAGAAGACTAACAACTAACAAGCTAGTATGTGGCATGGAAGGGGATAATGCTGTAGCTTATGGCCGCCTGCAATCCCTGCTCGTTTCAAACGCGGTTTTCTATAATTCTCTTTATTCTTCTAGAAAGTAAATATTAATTTTCCTTCTATAAAACAGCTTGTTATTCAAGTTTAAACAATTTCTACAAGAGTCACACGAGTCTGTCACCAGTCACAGGTTTTAAGGCAGAGATAAGAGAGTTACATAGATCGATTAACACCTATAATTTGAGATATTTTCCACAGCATGTTATATTGTTTACATACTGTACACGACCAATCATATCAGGATACATCTATATTCAGAGATATTTAAGGATCTTCTGAATAGGAAATGCAAAATCTTTAAAAATAGACAATATTCATAAACGTTATGTTTTATGTTTAAAATTGGAGTATTTCTTTAAAATTGTAAAACTTAACCCTTGAATGCAACAAGTGGCCGAGAGATGTCAGTCAAAAAACTTTACATGGAACCGTAGCATGGCGTGCCGGTAACTATAGGCATGCTCAGCCTATCCAGTTAAAGTGTATGAGCAGTCTGTGTAGTCTGTGTTTTAAGGGTACCCTTGTAAATTAGGCCGATGTCCTTCTCCAAATAGAAGGTAACTTGAAATTACGTTTCGAGTTCCTACTTCCTGTAAGGATGTAGAAAAATTACATTAATCCAAAGGTTGCAAAGGAATTGAGTCTTTGCCCTAAATTTGAATTTTCTAATTCATATATATGCAACCTGATGGTGTAAACTTTTAATATTTCAAACTCAGATTATTTGATCTATCAGAATTCATAGTTTGAAATATCTAAAGTCTACGACATTGGGTTGCAAAGCTATAAGGTTTAGAAAATCAGAGTTTGTGACAAAGACTCAATTCCTTTAGTTCATTTATACAAATTCAAAAAAAATTTTATCAGTGAAGCTCTTCAATAAGATGAGTTTTTGGACTGAAAACCTCAGAAAAGAGATTAGAATAGAAGGGAAACAAGACTATCCCTCGGTATGAGATTAGGATAGAAGGGATATAAAACTATCCCTCGGTATGAGATTAGAATAGAAGGGATATAAAACTATCCCTCGGTATGAGATTAGAATAGAAGGGACTATCCCTCGGAATGAATTTGTTCAAACTAAAATTTGGAATTTTTTATCACATTATATTTTTTGCCTAAAATAAAAAGCAATTAGAAATTTTGACAATTTTGGTCAAAGAAACGATAATTACGTTTTTTTACAAGCTGATTAATTCAGGCTACTTTCTGACTTAAAAGCGAAACTAAACTTTCTTTCATTTCATGCAGGTCAATTTAGCGTAATACTCATGCGTAAGTGAAAGAAATCGTTACCCGTAAATTATTATTTGTTACAGGGAATCAATTTCTTAACAAGATTTACAAAATATATAACTAAAATCGAAACTGTACTGATTTATTTTTATTTTTATATCTTTTTTATTTTTCGAGATCAAAAAAAGTCACCAAAAATATACATTTAACTATTCTACACTCACAATTTAAAGAATTAAAAGAAATACACATTAGGTCAAATTTTCAAATCCTATAGACGTAACCAGGGTCAAGTGATGTCACACACCTGCTCAACCTTTTTGAAATATATCAACAAGAGACATATTAAGAGTGAGCGATGTACACAGTTATAAAAATCATTCAAAATCTATAATCCAAATGTTACAACCCCTTGCCCCTTGGTTACTTTACCAATCGATTAATACTTTCTTCTATGGAATATTTCAACTATTTAGCAAGATTTTACTCAATTATCTACTATTTAATGTATCCGAAAGCTGACAATGATATTATGAGAGTTAGATCCTGGTCTAGAGGATGTGTTGCTTCAATCTAAGTTTGCATAATTAAAACATATATTTTGAAAATGATCCAAGCTTTTATACAGTTTAGTTTTTATGCACTATACAACGGTAAAATATAGTTTTGTACCTATATAAAGGTTAAACTTTAAACCTTCCATGGGATTTTTAGTATTTATCAAAATAAAATAAAATTCTGAACTACAGCAAAGTCAAGCTAATATTCTTTTAATTTGAACTCTTGCATGGTTTCAAACACTACTCCTTTATCTGAAGAGCTAATCCCAGTCTAGTCTAAAATGTCTTCTTTATGTTGGAGTAGAACTCTAAAGGTCTAGAGTTCTTTTTGTAGAGGTTGGAGAAGAACTCATGAAGATCTGGAGTTCTGTGTGTTGAGGTTGGAGTAGAACTCTGGAGGTATGGAGTTCTGTATGTTGAGGATGGAGTAGAACTCAAGAGATAAGGAGTTTGACGTNAGGATGGAGTAGGACTCAAGAGATGAGGAGTTTGACGTTGGAGTTAAACTCTGAAGATCTGGATTTCTGAATGTTGAGGTCGGAGCAGAACTCTGAAGATCTGGAGTTCTTTACGTAGAGGTTGGAGTCGAACTCTTAAGGTCTGGAGTTTTTTATGTAGAGGTTGGAGCAGAACTCTGGAGATCTGGAGTTTTTTATGTAGAGGTTGGAGTAGAACTCTGGAGGTCTGGAGTTCTGTATGTTGAGGTTGGAGTAGAACTCAAGAGATCTGGAGTTCTGTATTTTGAAGTTGGAGTAGAACTCTGGAGATCTGGAGTTCTGTGTGTTGAGGTTGGAGTAGAACTCAGGAGGTCTGGAGTTCTGTATGTTGAGGTTGGAGTAGAACTCAAGAGATCTGGAGTTCTGTATGTTGAGGTTGGAGTAGAACTCTGGAGGTCTGGAATTCTGTATGTTGAGGTTGGAGTAGAACTCAAGAGGTCTGGAGTTCTGTATGTTGAGGTTGGAGTAGAACTCAAGAGATCTGGAGTTCTGTATGTTGAGGTTGGAGTAGAACTCTGGAGGTCTGGAGTTCTGTATGTTGAGGTTGGAGTAAAACTCAAGAGATTTGGAGTTCTGTATGTTGAGGTTGGAGTAGAACTCTGGAGATCTGGAGTTCTTTATGTTGAGGTTGGAGTAGAACTCTGGAGATCTGAAGTTCTTTATGTTGTGGTTGGAGTAGAACTCTGGAGATCTGAAGTTCTTTATGTTGTGGTTGCAGTGAAACTCTGGAGATCTAGAGTTCTTTTTGTTAAGGTTGGAGCAGAACTCTGGAGGACTGGAGTTCTTTATGTTGAGGTTGGAGTAAAACTCTAGAGATCTAGAGTACTCTATGTTGACTGTTGAGGATGGAGTAGAACTCTGAACATCTGGAGTTCTTAATGTCAAGGATGGAGTTGAACTCTGAAGATTTGGAGTTCTTTATGTTGACTGTTGAGGATGTAGTAGAAGGGATGTCCTAAATAAAAATATTTGTTATATCCGTTATTGTGTTACACTGAATTTTAGCTGATAACTGGAGCTACCAGTCCCCTATCAAATATAATTTTATAAGCACTTTTT